CTGCAGCAGATCCAGAGCATGATCGGGCCCTTGGAGGAGGAGCTGGCCAGCATCCGCTGTGAGATGGAGAGCCAGAACGAGGAGTACAAGATGCTCCTGGGCATCAAGACCCGCCTGGAGCAGGAGATCCAGCAGTACCGGGCCCTGCTGGAGGAGGGGCAGCAGGATCTTGTGTACGTATTTACAGAACACAGCAGTGTGTGACACCCAGCTGCTGGTCAGTCGCCAGCAGGAAATGTAACAGTCGAGACTTGCAAAACAGAATTTGTACTGAAATGAGGCTGATCTTGGCCAATCACCTCCCAAGTGTGAGATATTTCATTCTGTTCAGAATATAAGTCGTGTGAAGAAAAGTCAATGCAGAAATTCGGAACTACCAGTTTGGGGCTGGACAAGGAAACCCAAGTAAGAGAGCCTGGTTCCAGGAAAGTCAGGAACTGAAAAGGCAGAAAAAGACTGTAAGAAAAAAAAAAAAAAAAAGGCAAAAACCCCCAACCAACCAACCAACCAACCAACCAAAAAAAAACCACCAAAACCCAAACCAACCAGTTTTCCAAATGTTTAAAAAAGTTTCTGAAAGTTCAAGCTACTTCAGCCTCCCTTATGCTGTGTGCCAGCTTCTTCTCAGAAATGGTTCCTGAAACAACAGCTAAAGTTTCATTCTCTTCTTTCTGATTTTGAGCCATACACTGATGTACGTGCCAAATATTGCAAGGAATCCCTAGGCAGAATGAGGGGAAAAACAAAAGCTCTTGCAATTAAGTTGAAAGGGAGGGTAATTTTTGGCACTCCCAGTTGTTTTGCTGTGCAGTGCTGGGTTCTAACCAGCCCAGAGAGTTGCTGGCTCCTGGGCAGCAGCTGTAGCTCAATGGCTTTTGGATGGCAAAGTGCTATTGATTAACTTTTTTTCCTTCTTTCTCTCTCTTTGCAGAATCCCAGGAGGAGGAATGGGAGGAGGCATGGGAGGTGGTAGAATTGGAGGTGGTGGTTATTCTGGAGGAGGAAGAGGAGGAGGTGGTGGCATGAGTGGTGGATATGGAGGTGGCAGCAGCGGAATGGGAGGAGGAATGGGAGGAGGAAGTTGTGGAGGAGGAATAGGAGGAGGAAGCAGTGGAGGAATGGGAGGAGGAAGTGGAGGAGTTGGAGGAGGAAGTGGAGGAATTGGAGGGGGAAGTGGCAGTGGATGCATTGGAGGAGGAGGAGGAGGAAGAACCTCAGGAGGCATCAGCAGTTCCCACTCCTACTCTTCATCTTCCCAGTCCCAGTCCTGCAGGAGTGGTGGCGAAAGCCAAGGTGAGAACTATGGTATGGGAAGAGTGTTTTCTGTCACATCCTGACTAATTAATGCACTAATTTATACCAACATACTCTCCCAGAAGCAAACAGCACTAATAAACTAAAATTTCTGGAAAATATTAGATTTACTGTTACTAACAATTCTTTCCTCTTTGTGTGCAAAGGACAACTCCGGTTGCAGAGCACAAAGTCCATTTCTATCTCATTTTGTGAGTGATATCAGCTGATCCTGTAGTTTAACCTCAGCTGTTTTTTTTTTTTTTCACCTCATTCTTTGCAGCCTCATAAATTCCACAGCCTTTGTGCCATGCTGGAGTTTTCAGTTCTGCTTTTGGAATGCTTATGGCCACTCCCACATAATCCTAATATCTGGGGGATGCTGGTATCTCGGACATTCAGTGCCAGTACTGATGACTTGTTTTGTCTCTAAACAGGATATGGAAGAAAATCTTTTGACTAAGAATATCCATCAAGGATCCTCCAGCGCAAGACCTTTCCAAAAGAAACTGGCCCAAATCCGCTGCATTCCCCACACTCCCAAGGAAAGATGATGCTCTGAACAGTTCCTGGGAGTTGCAGATGCCACCTCTCCCCCTGCCCTGCATGCTCTGTGCTGCTTCTGCCCACAAAGCTCTGCAGTTTCAGTCACTGGCACTCAAACTGCTGCTTTACAGATCCAACCTTTGGTACTCAGGTTGTTCTGAATCAGGAAAATGTCTCTAATAAAATTTAATTTCTGTCTGATGCAACCAGAATCCTGTGTTGGGTTTTCCTTTCCCTCCGTAGCTACAGAGCCATACACATGCCAAGACACACCTCCAGGTAGAGAGGTTGATGATACACTCCAGTAGCTGATAACAAAATTTAGAGTTAGAACACAATTTCGGAGCAGTAAGGGTAGATCAGAATCTTCTTGAGCTGTTTCTTTTTTTTTAAATAATGTGTTGGATATTCTTGTGAGCTGAGCTCTAAGACCCAATAGATTAATATTAGCCTTAAAGGAACTGCAGAACATCAGCACTCAATTACTCCAATGGTGTTGGCAGCACATGAGGAACAAAGAACACTAATGATTACAGAGCTGTGGTTGTAAAATGAAACTAATGTTTCAATTCACAAAACCTTGATGGACACTCATTGGTTTAACCAGGAAACGCACAGATAAGGGATCTTATTTTGAAATTATAAGAAGTGAAAGGGAAATATAATTTACAGGAACTTTGCAAAGTTAATTTCCATAAAATGTTAATATTGACAGCAATTGCCTTTGACCTCTGAGAAATTAAGTACATGTCAAAGGGCCTGGAATGTTCACTTTTGGATATAGCTACCAATGTAATCCAGCAAGAGGGGTCAAAATTCCAGAGGGGCTTCCCAAGGGGAGGGTACATCCCACCTGCACACAGCCTTGCAGGCTGAGCTGCAGGTGCACGGCTGCACACAAGGGAGGGGCCTCTGGGGTTGAGTTGAGAGTGAAAGAAAATGTGAGTTCCACAAAAGAGGAGCAGCACTGCTGAGTAACACAACAGATGCACATAAGTATGGATTGAGAGAACAGATACAAAACTGATTTCCAGAAATACACGCCACACTGCTATGCAAACTTTCTCAACACTTGGAAACCATTCAGGGAAACAGAAACACTTGACATCCACCAAGCCAAAGTGTGCTGGCATTGTACTGGCATGAACGAGCCTTTGCAAGCTTGTTAAACAGAGTTTTTGCTGCATAAGTGCTGCCAAGGACATGGAACGGGAACAGTGATATTTTAGTCATGCTAATTTCTCCTTCTTTGGTTTAGAAACTTGGACTACACACACCATCCAGAAAGACCCATGGTGTTGGTGATAAATGGTCTGAGGATTAACAATTGTCTGTATTCCAGAGCCCTCTAAGGGAGGGAATTGCATTGTCACCTCCTACATGTGCAGGTGCAGGGATAGAGATTCCACTGCTGTCAGTCCATGCGTTAAACCAACCTTGGAAGAGTGTTTATTTCCCTGACTCCTAATTACTTTGCTGCCCAACAGGCACTAAATGCTACACATCATACAGTGAAGTCCAGAAGGGGTTAAAACAGGATGAAAACAGCAGCTACTGAGAGACCCAGGTGGAGGGAATGAAGGATTTCCAAGATCATTTTACATCCATAAGGCACAGTACTGGGTTTCTGTGGCAAGGTGTGTGTAGCAGGGGGTACAGGGGGATTTCTGTGAGAAGCTGCCAGAAGCTTCCCCCGTGTCCAGTGGAGGCAGTGCCAGCCCAGGACGGGCTTGGTGCCAGCCAGGGCAGAGCCTGGCAGCGATGGTGGCAGCACCTCGGGGCCAGCAGAGTTACCAAGGGTGAACAAACCTGCACAACTGCAGCCAGAGAGAGAAGTGGGCTTGTTCCATCTTCTGTAATGTGGAACCTTCTCCTAAAACACCTCTAGGTTGAATCCATCCTCCCTCTCTGTAGATAAGCTGATTTTGAGGTGACAATTCACAGCAGGTCCCACCAGCTCCTTGTGCTGCCTTTGCACAGCGCAGTGACTCTTCCGTAGGAGCTGCAACGCTGATATTTAATGCACAGCAGGAAATCCAAAATTTGTTTCTGTTCAAGGCTTTTCTCAGTTTCACAGGAGCTTGATTAGTAAAGATGGAAAAAGCAGCTCACTGCCATCCTCTATTGCATGGCCAGTGGAAAAAAGTACACAAGTATTTCTGACTCTCCGTTGGGTGGTGCAAGGTATTCTGTCATGGTTGCAAAACACCCTTCATTATAATGAACTCAGGGAATGACGATATTTTTTGCAGATGTAATCTTTGCCTCTTTTAATGAAACTTATTTTTTCATTGTATTATATAATTCAAGGATGTATTCTGAGAAATTGCTATTTAAATGCAGTTATGAAGATACGCAAAGTAAAATATTTCTCCTCTCAATTTCCTCTGAGTCCATGTAAAACCATTACAATAAAATTAGGAGCTCTTTGATAGGAAAATATTTAATATCTTTTCCTTTGCACCATGTTACTTTTGTGGCTGTTACACAGTTTTCTACAAAAAGAAAAAAGACTGTGATCCACCTGCTGCATGTTCAGAGAAAGCTGAATGCCAGCAGGACCTTGTTCAATACAGAGTGAAGAATTCAGAGTCAAGTTTTCTTCTGTAACAGACATGGGAATGCAGTCTAAAATTTTTTTATTTTGGTGCATCAAAGTAGATTTCTATAAAGCTGATGTAAATTTGAAATAAATCAATGAATGAAGAGTTCTTGGAGGCTGCTGGTATGACAAATCACATCTGTGATCTCAGGTGGAAGACCAAAGCTGAGCTACTGAGTTTCAAAACATAAAAAAGGATGGACATAGACAATAAGCAGAGAGTTCACCAGCTGCCGTTACCAGCGAGATATTGCCAGATTAACAGAAACTGAGAGATACAACATTGTTCAACAAAATATCCAACAAGGAGCCACCCACATAAAATTACAGTGCAGCTAGGTGTGAATCAACTGAGACATATTTGCACTGAATGGTAATGCCTTTTACTTACCTCAGACAAAATTCCTCTTAGCACATCATTTTTGGCATGAGCACTATGGCTGGCAAACCCCATGGGAAGCTGGACTGCCTGGCAGGTGACACCCACCCGGGCAGGTATAAATAGCCACCAGCAAGGACGGCCCGCAGCACTTTGATTTCCTGTATCTCGCTGTGCAGAGCTTTGCATCTGGGGCTGGATTGCTGATCATCCCTTCACCATGAGCTGCAGCATCAAGAGAACATCCAGCACCTCGTACAGGAGCGGAGGAGGAGCTGGAGGCGCCTGCGGTGGCAGCAGCGGCCGCAGCTCCTCCGTGTCCTGCCGGCGCTACGCGTCCTCCGTGATCGGCGGGGGCAGCTACGGCGGGGCAGCGTGCGGGGGCTACGGGGGCGGCCTGAGCTTGGGCGGCCTTGGCGGCGGCTTTGGCGGGGGCTTTGCGGGGAGCTGCGGCCCTGGGGGGGACCTGCTGCTCAGCGGCAATGAGAAGGTCACCATGCAGAACCTCAACGACCGCCTGGCCGCTTACCTGGACAAGGTGCGAAGGCTGGAGGAAGAGAACGCTCAGCTCGAGCACCACATCCGCGAGTGGTACAGGAAACAAGCTCCCAGCGTTTCCAAGGACTACAGCTCCTACTACCAGACCATCGAGCAACTCCAAAACCAGGTAGGATCCTCTCGGCACACGGGGCTCCATCTGCCACATGCTCTCCTCTCCTCTAAGGCCTTCCTCCTTCCTCTTTGCTTCTTCTTCCTCCTCCCTCTCCATCCCCAGCGCTGGGCTCGGCCGTGCTGGTGGTAGCACAGGCACAAACCTGCTGAGCTGCACTCCCATGCCCTGGCTGAGCAAACCCTCAGAGCAGCCCACGGGCACCAGGGCACAGCCCGAGGCACCAGGAGCCCCAGCAGCCACAGACACGCTGGCTCACGCAATGCACATCCCACGTTGTGCAGGTGGCTCCAAACCAGCCGTGTGTGCTTTGCAGTGCTTCCCCCTGCTCCCACCCACATCAGCTGCATGGAGTGCAAAGCCAAAGCACCTGGGTGGCAGGATCTGAGCTCCCTTTGTCCCTTCACACTCCTACAGACACCAGGTGGAAGGACTGAGGTCTTCCCTTACAGTCAGGTCGCACAGTACCAAAGACATAGAGTAAACAGACAACCATGAATAAATACATTATATGGAATGGGCTGCCAACACTCTTTGAGACACATGGTGGTTGTCCCTAACTTGAGAAAAGGAAGAGTATATATTTGGCAGGATGGTCTGTGATAGCACAAACTTCCCTGAAAAGTAAATCTGGATCATTATCCTTCCATATGACCCCTGCACTACTGCAAGAAATAATTCTAAGACCCACAGTAACACCCAACCAAAGCTTAGAGCCTTCTTTCTGCTTGTCCTGGAAATCAGAAAGACTCCTGTCCACCTCCCCATTTTGCAGATTATTTCTGCCACTGTGGACAACAACAGGATGATTCTGGACATCGATAACAGCAAGATGACTGCCGATGACTTCCGAATGAAGTGAGTACCTTCCTGTGAACCTTGCATGTCTGTCAAATCCCTCTCATCATCTAAAAAGACAAGAGAAGACTGCTCTGGGTGGTATTACTGAGTCATCCTGTTTTACTGGAATACTGATCTTAGAAGGATGTGTGCTATTGACTGCTAGCATCTCATTTCTCCATTTCTCTAACACAGATATGAGAATGAGCTGGTCATCCGTCAGACCGTGGAGGCTGACATCAATGGCCTGAGAAATCTCATGGATGACCTGACTCTGGTTAGATCTTCACTGGAATCTGAGCTGGAGTCCTTGAAGGATGAGCTGATTGCTCTCAAGAGAAACCATGAGGAGGTATGATCCAATGATAAACAGCACAGCCAAAGACATAATCCATCAATTCTTCACAGATCCCACCATCATATAGCAAGTCAATTTTACCTCATGCCATGGGATTGTCGTTCCTTTGTACCATGGTGCTGTTTTGCCCCAGCACAACAAATGACCTCTGTGTGTGCTCTTGTTTCTCTCTCTCTGGGGTCCCTGCAGGAAATGAGGCAGATCCAGTCCCAGACTGGTGGTGATGTGAGTGTGGAGGTCAATGCTGCCCCTGGAGAAGACTTGACAAAGATCCTGAATGACCTGAGAGATGAATATGAGCAGATCATTGAGAAGAACCGCAGGGAGGTGGAGCAGTGGTATGAGGTCAAGGTACGTAGCGATGCCCAGAGTGGATGTCCTGTGCTGGGACAGCCCAGACACCCTGCTACCAGGACTGGCTGACAGGGAGAGGCTGCCTGGAGATGTGGGTACTCACTCAGCAAATCTGCTCCCTTGTGGCTCAGAAAGTGTCTCTGGGGTTTGACTCTGCAGATCCAAGAAGTCAATCAGCAGGTCACTTCCAGTAGCCAGGACATCCAGACAAGCAGCCACCAGCTCACCGAGCTGAGGCGTGAGATGCAGAACCTGGAGATCGAGCTGCAGGCACAGCTCAGCACGGTACGTGGGCAGGATCTGCGGGCCCTTCCCTCCTTGGCACGGGCAGGGAGCCGTGGAACTCTGCTCCTCAACTCTGTGTTTGCCTTTTAGAAAAGCTCTCTGGAAAACTCCCTGGCAGAAACCGAGTCTCGCTATGGCTTCCTGCTCCAACAAATCCAGGTGCAGATCAACTCTGTCGAGGAGGAGCTGGGCAGCATCCGCTGTGAGATGGAGGGTCAGAGCCAGGAGTACAAGATGCTCCTGGGTATAAAAACCCGCCTGGAGCAGGAGATCCAGCAGTACCGGGCACTGCTGCAGGAGGGGCAGCAGGATCTTGTGTAAGTATTATATTATAGCATATTATAGCAAGGGAATAAAAAGAAATCCTCATGCACTTATTTACCAATAGAGACTTTTTGTCCCTGAAGTTGCACCAACATATCTTTCAACTGAATATCCAGTATTAGTAGGTTTTGATGAATTCTCTTTTTTTTTTTTTTTACAGTGCATCCCAAGGAGCTTTTCAAGGTAGTGGAAAATCCTCCCAGTCATATTCTGCTTCCTACTCTCATTCCCAGTGTGGGGACATGTCAGGTAAGTCAACATTTTGTCAGCATGTGATTATTAGTGGGTTACATCTGCCCCAGTGGCTGCAATGTATTTGGTCAGAAAAAAGTTTTGTAGTTTAGATTCCGAGATCCATTAGCCTGGGAGTGAGAAACCTCATTACTCTGTTGCAGCAGAATCAGCAGTTAAAATACAGCAAGTGTGGATCTTACCTCTGCCTAAATATAAAATACAGTTTATATATTTTATGGGATGGGGAATACTTTTTGCTTACTGAAATAATAAAAAAATACAGTTCTGAGAAAGCACCCAGGGTGCTGCTGCTGCATGGAGCATCTGTGCCTCTGCTGCTGACACTGTCAGCTGTAAGAGTTCCACTCAGCAGGAATGCTCAGACTTCCTCTCAAGGCAGAGATTTTCTGTGTTCTCACAGGGCAGTCAAGAGTGTGCTAGAGCAGCAGGAGAGACCCTGGCACCGTCCAGCTGAGAAGCAGCGACCATGGGCAGCGACAGACACCCGAGAGTTTCTGCAGCACGGCCGAGGCAGAGGAAAGACGAGCCTGCCCAGCACCCCTTCTCTGCCCTCCAATGCTTGGCTTACTCAGCTTGTCTTTGGCAACTCATTCTTCATTAAAGAGCTCACATTCTGCTGGTAACTCTGCTCAAATAAACCTTTATGTCTGCAATGCAAATCACAACATGTCTGAGAAAATAAATTTAACCAACCTCGTGTGGGTACTTATCCAGATCATCCACCAAACACAGGCTGTGCAGTTGTACAGGGTACTTGGTCTCTGGACAATCCATTTTGCACTAGGAAAATGAACACGGTGCTGGGATAAAACCACTGAGTGAAAGCAAATATCAGGAAGTGTGACTGTGGCTGTGTGAGGTGAGACAACAGCCAGCTTCTGCCTAGGGTAACTGCCAGGTGAGGCTGGCAGAACTCTCTCTTCACAAACAAGAGCTATAAGATTGAAAATAGAAATCTTGTTGTCAGTTCTTGACACAATTTTTCTTCTTTCTGAGACATTAAAAATCCTTTACCATTTAAATGGTCACTAAGGGATTGCTCTCTGGCCCCTCGACTTGCCACTTGCACTAAAGAGAATGAATTATGTGAGTGAAAGGAGAAAGAAAATACAAATGATGGGTAACTATCAGCAGATTAGCTGTTAACTTAATAAACTGTACCCAGTGGTACTACAGTGAGTTATCTGGGTCCATTAATCTCATCACAGCCAGAGTACTGTGGGAAGGAAGGTGTGACTCAGGAGAGGTTGTTCCAGTATGAAGGGGCTTCCTCACAAGTATTTCTACACCTTTTGTTGCACAGACAGTGACATATTGCTGACTTCTGTTAGGAAACACAGACAGCAAGACAATGGATGTATTTCCTTCAGTATCATGCACCAAAACCATTCCAATCTTTTATGATAGAAGTTTCAATTTAAATACTGATATAATACCAAGAACCCAATTTCTGTTAATGCACACAGCTGGCTGATACTCTGCCTTAAGAGAAATGAGAGACACATTCCTTTCACTGAAGTTATTTTCTATATTTTACTGCTTAAGAACATAAAATACACAACATAATTAGAGATGAGAGAGCAATACTAAATTAGGGCAGCTCCTTTAGATGTATTTTGTTTTCTGAAGATCAGAGTGAAGCCCCTTTTCAGTCTCTGACTGTTTTGCACCACACACACAAAATCAGCCATGCATGACTTACAGGTACCTGTTTGTCCCTTCCCCACTGATTAAACCTGGTTTCTAGTATTTCCCATTTCATTTCAGACTGAAGGACTGATCTGTTAGGGTAATGAAATTAAACAATTTCTCATCACAACCAACTTAGAAGAGTTTGTTTTTGTTTAGGTCTTCTCTCAGTAACCACATAGCTTGGCTCTGCCAGCACAGCACCCTGGCTGCAGCCTGCAGTGAGTGTCCACAAAGAATTCACTTTCTACTTCTGGTGAAAAACTGACTTTTTTCAGTCCAGCATCAGCAATTTGTGTGAATAAAAGCCTGTCTACAAAGAGTAAAAAGTTCATTTCAGGTTTTAACAGTATAGGGAGTGATGTAAAGCAAATATAAACATGACTTTTGTCTCCAGAAGTTGCCAGAACTCACTCAGGTCTCAGCTGTATTTACTGCAGTCGAGGCAGCTGAAGCAGATATCTCTTCTGAGGCCAGATTATAGAACCTTAAACTACAGTTTATGTATATAACAAAAGAACTGAAAGGTTATTCTGCTTCCTTCTAATGTTCCAGAAGCACAGAAAAGCATCAGAATGATCAAAAATAGAGTCCTCCCCCAGAGAACTCCTGGGAACTCCAGAGCTGCAGTGTCTGTCCCCATTTCTGAGCTAATTTGAGAGTGAGAGGTCTTGGTGCAGTGGGTGGCACTGGGGAGAGTCCTCAGGAGCCTCTATAGCAGGATCAGCTCACTGTGGAGTCCTGCTGCTGACAGCACAATGCCCTCCACACATTCCTGCTGATCCACGGGGCACTAATCCCCACCTAGGGCTGGGCCAAGGCCTGTCCTAGGGACAGCACACACCACAGGTGTGCCAAAGGCACAGCAGGACCCACAGCCTCTGTTTGAGGCTGACAGGCACCCCAGAAACCTTGTGCTATTCCTGTGATCAGTTATCCTGACACCACTGCCTGCTCCCAATGCTCACTTCACACATCCATGCTCTCAGAAACAGCCATACATTTGCTCAGTGCTCTGAAAAGATCTACAGAATAGGAAAAAAAAAGACAGGATAGGAAAAAAAAAAGGCTTTGGCAGGGAGGAATTTAGAATTCAATTAGTTGCCATCATCGATAACAAGAGCACATGGAAGCAGGTAAAGAGAACAGGAAAGGATCCCTCTGCTGGAAGAGCTTAATTTCCCCTTGGGAAGTCTCTCTAAATTTGTCCTTTTTCAGTGGTAGGAAGGACTACGAGTAATGATTTAGATCAATTGCAGAATTTAAATAGCTCACATTTAATAGGATTTTCTGTAGGTCTATACATATGCAAGTTTATGAGCCTGCTCCATGGAGTAACATAAGAGCAAGATGAGCCCATAATGGGGCGTTGTGGAAATCCTACAGCTCTGAATGGACTGAACAAATGCACAGGTTGAGGTGATCCTGCAGGACAACGGATGACAGATGAGGAATGTACAAATGAGCTCCTGACTAAACTCTTGGGAGTAGCACTCTTCTTAGCAAGACCACATTTGACTCATTTACGGTAGAATTAATTACCAGTAATTGTATCTAGTGTTGTCCTCTCCCTCTCGTGTGACTGAAGACATACATCCATTAATGGCATCACAGCCTCTGTGGAAACCACAGGCTGCTTTTGGTTCTTCTGCCAATTTGGAGTATCTGTTTGTGGCTCAGCATCCAACTTCACCAGTGAGTAAACAGCACTGGGAAAGGATTCACAACACTCCTACTTCAAACAAACTTCTGATTTACAGAGATCCATGGGGTGCACTATGAGCAAAAGGTCTGCCAGGGGAAGATGTGATTTCAAAGCTCTTACAGTGCCTTTGAATGGCTGAGGAGCCTCAACATCTTCTACAGCAGAACATGTGTGACCTCCTTCTGTCATCACAAGGATTATGAAAGGTAAGGGCTCCAGAACAGTCTTGGCTCTTCTGGATTGTGAAGTAAAACAGCAGGTCCAAACTCACTCACAGCAGCCAACTCAGGCCAAGAGCCATGTACACAGGACAGTGGCCAGAAATGCACATGGAGACAAGGAAATAGCCCCATGTTACAGAAGAGAAAGTCTAGAGATGAAATGTTTGGGATACAGTTATGGCAGAAAGGATGGTTAGATCACCTATTCAAAAAAGAAGAGAGGAACAGAGAGACAGAGAAAAGGCACCTAGTGATAGTATGAAATTACAGCATTGGGAAATGTCAGAAATTGTTGGGTCAGGTATTGTGATGCAACGATGCTGAGAAGGAGATATAAAATCAACACCTCTGGCACTAATGCCAATGAGCAATAAACATCTCATAGGGGAGAATAAAAGTGCATTTCAACAATCTAATGAGGAAAATATGACTAAGGAATCACACCCTGTGAGAAAATAATTTTTATTTTTTAATAATGATGACTCAGTCTCAATAACATATGCAAAACACTTGGTTCTGACGTGCAGATAATTAGAGAGCTACCAATAAAACAACAATCATAATTATGCAGATCAAAGGATTACATTATCTGTGATATGGGGGTGGTGGTGTGTCAAGAAAGAGGGTGAATGGTTTTCCATGATTCTTCAGTCAGCCATAACACACATTAGTAGCTTTTATGGATCTCATAATCATTACGGCTAAGAAAAAAAATCCTGCTTGAGCCACAACTGCAGGGTGTGTGTAAGTAACAGCATAAATGGAGAAAACAATAACAAAATGCATGGTTAAATTATAACTTCCAAATAGAGATGAATTCCCATCAAAGTTCAACATTCACATAATGAGGCCCCTTGTCTTTCAGGCTTAAAATTCACATTTTCCAAAAGTTACTTAAAGGCAAAATTTCCTTTCCAAAGAAGGGCTTATCACAATCTGCCACCTTACAGAAATGGTGCAGTTGTTCAGCACCAAGGGACAAAAGACCAAAGGTAAGGGGGATGTAGAGAGTCACCATACCTACCTCTGTTAGACAAGGATAAAATTCCCAACATCAATTGCCCAAGATCAGACTTAAAACTCTCTCTTCCATCCACAGCTCTTGCAATGGAAACTCTTCAAGACCCTTCTGCCCCCATAGTTAAAAATTTCTCCTCAAATCCAGACTGTGCCCTTTCCTACATGAACAACAAGATTGTTCTGTATTTCAAACAGCCCTGGTACCTCCTTCCTCAAGAGCCAGCTGATAACAATCTCAAGCTCCATCTGGCCAAGCCAAATCCTTTCTTTCCTCTCCCAAGATACAGCCAATGCAGCCATATAGATGTCATGTACATATTTCAGATTAAGATAACCTCTGAGTGATTGGAAATTTGCACAGAAATGTTTAAAAGCTCACAGATTTAAAATGGCATCACTGCATGCTCATGAGACAAGAGGATTTCCTGGAAGTGATTCCACCAGAGTTTGGTGA